TTATGTACTGATTTCATATTTACATATTAAAGCTTATCATTAATTTTTTTCTAATATTTTATTAAAATGAATTATTAAATTCATATACATATGTATGCTACATGGCTACGATCCATTATTTAAGAATTTAGAGAAAATTAAAATATGGATAAAAAATGGAAGGATATTTTTTTAAATAAAAATAACTTAATATTAATTTTAAAATATAGAAGATTTAGATATTACAAATACTGTGTTCAGCCCTAAAAAGCTTTAATTTGTAAAGTAGCATTGACTCAAAGAGTTTGTGAAGTAGCTTTGGTTGTTCTTGTTTGGTTTTTGGGTTTGGTTGGGGTACCATGATGTGTTTTTTTTTTTTTTTAATCTCGTGTTGTTTTTTTTATCAGTTCTCTTTTTGGTGTTAAGTTCCTTTTGTCTTGCTGTGTGTTATTTCGCTGGCTTTGTTTTACACAGACGGGTGCTGACTGCTTGGCTTGTCTAGCTTGGGTGTCTGATTTTGCTGGACCTCTCCTTGATTCTCTTTTATATCAGATTGTATTTATTTCATGTTTATATTATTGTTTATCTCATTTAATTGGTTTTTCCTTTCTTTGCTTTTGTGCTGTAAAAGATTGAATCAAAAGTTAATAGATTTTGTTTCAAATGATATATTTTGAGGGCTATTGATTCATTAAGGACTTCTAATCGCTTATGTTATTTAACAAGTAGCCCCCTTCTTCTAGGTTTTTTTATAAAATAAAAGCTTTGACTCGAAGCCTTTGAGAGTGATCGGAATCAAAATTTCAAAAGCTTAACCGACTTTGAATTGCGTTTATAGACAGTTTGAACTTATTTGGCAAAGAGCAGCATAAGTGTACACGGCATGGATTTTCAACTGCCACAAGGAAGCCATTTTGTTGCATCTTTTTATTTTATTAGGGGGGAGAGGGTTACATATAGCTAGCTCGCACTCAAAGTATTGAGATTTACAAATTTAGCATCTAAATTTTTATATTTACATCTTCAAGCACTCAACTAGCTTTGTTATAGTTCTCATCGAAACTCATTGAATCAACGTTAACTTATCGATCGGTATCTTCTTGCGAGCTCATTTGCAGCTTTCTCATCTTCATCTCACATTTCTGAACTCATAAAGGGATCCTCCGTTAGGATTTAATGGAAACAACAAATAATTCGATCTTCTCCAAAAAAAGAAATACCAAATCATCGAGATGGGAAATGAGGAATCCATTTTGAAGCGTATCTGAATCCATTGAAATGCGGAATCAAGGTTTTCAATCTTCCATGTTTGAAGCGACGTTCTCCAAAAGAGCGAGAGACATGCATCTTCTTTTCACTCAATTTGAAAAATAAGGGAAATGAAAACTTAACCGCTTCAACTGGGGACCACGACCTTTTTATTCTTTAAGTGTAAATATTTTATTTTAGTCTATCATTAAAATCAAATAAATACCCGGCCTCTACACAAATTAATTTCATACAAATTTAATTGAGATGCCACATAAGTCAAATAATGATTTAATGCTTAAATTGATCACGAATTTAATTGGCTTAATTTTAGATAGCTTCTAATTTATAAAACTTTATTTATATGTATAAATATATGCACCAACATATAAAAATTTCCCAACATCCTCTACATGCTGCCTTGACTCCTATGATCCCATCAATGACTTTTTCTGGTGAGTTCTTATGAGAAGAAGGAAAAATTATTAGGTGCGGAGTGCGCACCATCCGCACAAGTATTGGGTACCTAGCGGTACCGAGTGCGGGTACCTAACGCAAAACAATGCTTCTGCGGGCGATTCTCCCCGTCCGCACTCCGCACCTAATAATTAATCTCTCGTAAAAGAAGAGGGGACAAGGCGCAAAGGTCATAACGAGGGGAGTTTGTTGGTTTCTACGCCTACGAGCTCCCATGAACGAAAGAGAATGTGCATGGCAACTAACAAAATGAAGGGATTAGGAATTTTAAGGGAGGGAAGGTGCTATTTTTTATTTTATTTTAATTTTTTTGTTAGTATGAATGTAAATAATAAAGTTTTAATGTGAAATATATAAATAACTCCTTTTTTTTAAATGCCCAACTCCATTATATTTAAAAAAAAATATTTTTTTTTATATTCTTCAAAATTACATCGATGTAGCATTCACAAACTTTGGACAATATGTGCAATTGGATGCAATTAGAAATGTTTATTATTGATGGAATTAGAATCTTACTGGTATTATTATTATTCTTGTTATTATCAAAACTTAAATTCAAAAATAAATTTTATGTCAAAATCCACAAGTTAGAAAGCAGTATAAAAAAGCTATGACAAATGAAGCATAAGGCTCACAACTCGATAAGCTGCACTCAAAGGCTCAATAACGAGTTGAGCTCAACTAGTCTGTGAGCTAGCTCGGCTCACTTACACTCCTAACTTTATCAATTTGAAGATCTAAAATTCGCAGTGTAAATTCCCAAGCTTTCTTCTTAGAAGAATGCAGTTTCTTCTTAGATTAATCTGCAATAGATAAAGAGGAGTCCAGTGCATTCTTTCATCTTCAAGATCTGCTTTTATTTTTGTTGAACAATGCTGTCCTTTTCTCCTAAAGAGTTCAGTAGTTCTTAATTGCGACAAAGGATATTTTTTAATTATTTCTCGGTAGCAGCACTATCTTAATAAGCCATTTTTTAATTTAAAAAAACAATCAGATAAACTACAGTTCTTACCATGGCTTTAGCTGTCAGAAGAAGTAATTCAAAAAATAAAATAAATCTTTTTTTAATTTATTAAAGAAATTTCTTAGGCTCTTCACTATCATTAGTTATCTAATCACTCGTATTAGTGTCATATTAATTTTTTATTACAAAAATATAGTAACCCATAAGATGAAAATCTTATCAGACAGTTGTTTCATTTGCAAATATTAAAAACAAACAAACAAATAACTAAACAAATTTTACTTGATTACCACGCAAGTAGAAGGGATCTTTTCAAACCCATTTACTTGGAGAAAAAGCACGTTAAAATATATACTGGTCTTATTCTGAACTAAACGCATAGGTGAACTGGAGCAGAAATGTATTTTAAAATATTAAAATTCTTTTTTTATAACATTTATAATGGCTTGTATTGACGAATTTCACCTACAAATATAGTTTTACTAATTTTTTTTAATTAATTTGATCTTGAGTGCATATAATATAAGAGGATGGCCAGTTGTATTTTACTAATATATTGAAGTATTTTGCCAATTATCTTAAAATCATTATAGAGACAACTGGAGTAATATTGGAAAATTTTTAATTAAATTTGTTTAAAGGGCTTTTTACTGTTTTATTTTTAAATAAAAATCATAAATTTTATTTAACCACTATTATTATTATTTTTAAAATAAATTATACTAAAAAAGTTATGTTCTACAATAATTTTAAGAATTACTTTCTCTACCGCTGATTTCCAAAGAGTAGATGAGTAACAATTGTAGGCTTCAAAATGACGTAAGCCCATCCGATTTATAATGGATCGATGGGCCACACTAAGGCCCAATAAAAAGTTTTAGTTGGAGAAATAGGTTGCGTCTGTTTTGGATTAAGAAAATAATGCTGGTTAAAAAAATAATTAAATGGTTTAAGTGAATTAAACTAAGACATGCTAAAATCCAAAGGAAAAAATTATGTCAAAATATCTTGATTAAATTTTAAATTTTTAGTTTGAATGAATTTTAAAGTCATTAATTTTTTTTTGAGATGAATACAATATAATTTATTTATATATTGATCCATATTAACATAATATATGTGTTCAAATAAATATTTAAAGTCATTAAATTTTCTTTGAGCGAAATCCGGCCAAAGGACCTAAAATGCAAAACCAAATCTCACGACAAACGAAAGCCACCGTAGACGAAAAATTCCGCCTTTTAGTGCTAAATCCCAGATTTTTGAAATCCTATTTTTTTTCCGAATTTACAAAATTTGTTAGCTCCAAAGTAAGAGACTGCTCGTTAAATCCATTATATAGCCAAACAGTCACATGGGATTTAATAGGATTTATCTTGAATGTTACCAAATAATTTTCAGGATTTAGGCTTATAAGGATTTCCGAAATTCATATTTAACGAATTTACGAAATCCTACTTAAATAAAACCCTGGGTGCTACCAAATAGCCCGTTAAGGTCTATTTGGAATAGTTGAAGTGTTTTATAAAGTTATGAAGCTATTATAGAGAAAACAAAATAAATCTTTGTCTTTGAACAATAGATGTATGTCTTGGAGCTAAACTAATTAAATCTTTATGTTCTCTGTTTTGCCTGATTTTTCTTGTGTTGTTTCTCTAGCCTTCTTATAGAGTATCCCGAGTGTTAAATTGAAAAAAGTTATGTAGCTGAGGAGGAAATAGACATGTATCAAAGCTTAATAAGAAGCCACGAGGAAATGTACCACATGAGTTGGCTACTCAATGAGAAGGCAGAAAGAAGGTGATCAACAGACGATGAAGAAGAAAGAATATTAACTCTTATGAGAGGAGAGTGAATTACATTTTTTTGGTAGAAATTCACATAAGGGCTTAAGCGTTTCATCAAAAAATACATCACAGATCCTTAAAGAACTAAAAGCTCTTTAAAAAAATAATTTTTGAAGGAAAACCTATGAGATAATGGTCCTATCTAACAAAAAAGATTAGACAATAAAAAAGAAACGCCAAAAAGATCCAATGAAAGTCATCCAAGAACTCGCACAAGAAAGGGGAATAAAAATCAAACTTCTTTTGAACGCGTGTGTTTTTGGAACGTGATGAGAGAAATGTGCCTCAACTGGCTTATTGTACTTGACCCGATTAGATTAGAGCCACAAACATCCCCCATAATTAGGCTTTATTTGGAACGACTTTCTTACTGCTTCTTAAAGCAGCTCTCTAGCCAAACGAAACCTTAGTCTATGGTGCGCCCATCTTAATGAGAGAGAAGAAGGGGCCTGAACTAGTTGATTATATTCGATCCGATAAGGTTCAAGCTATCCAACATAATTTGATTAAGATGTTTTTGGTGCCATTCAAATCATCTACATCATAAAACTTTGCATCATTGGGAATTCGTTTGATTCTTAAAATATTTTTTTAAGCTGTAATCTTCTTCATGAAACTAATATATAACAACAGCCAATTACCTGATGCCAAAAAAAAATGCAGGCAAGCTTCATAGCACACTACATCCTAGCAACCACATTCTGCATTGAGGTCTTCTTCACAACCCCTCTGGAATACAATTCACCTACTAAATCCACAGCCGCATCACCAAAACCTTCATGAACCAAGCCCTCAATGAGAATCATGTAGGTCGATTGCGTCGGCATGCACCCCCGCGAAACCATGTAGGCATAGAAATCAATTGCCCTGTCTGTCTCCCTAGCCTTGCAGAGCCCCAAAATCACTGAATTATAGATGATTGCTGTAGGCCTTATGTGCAGACCTTGTAGCTCAAGAACCATGTTAATGGCCTCCTCAACCCTCCCTTCTCTACTAAGTCCTGCTACAAGCGAAGAGTAAGTGATCGTATCAGCCTTCAATCCCTTTCCTTCCATCTCCTTAAATAGCCCAAGAGCCTCATCAGTTTTCCCGACCTTCGACAGCCCGTCGATCACCGCATTGTAGCTGATAAGCACTGGCCTGCAACCCCTGCTACTAAGCTGGCTGAGCAGCTCCACTGCTACATCAACCTTCCCATCCTTACAGAGTGCAGTAAGCAAAGTGTTGTAGGTCACAATATCAGGATAACATCCCCTTGAAACCATTATATCCAAATACTCAATAGCCCTATCGATCTTCTTGTCCTTGCATAATCCATGAAGCAAAGGATTGTAGCTCAGGGAATTGGGAGTGCAGCCATGTTCAGGCATCTTCTCCAATATATCCATCGCCCTACCGATCAATCGTTTGCGGCACAAGAAGTTGATGAGAATGTTGAAGGTGACAACACTGGGATTGCATCCCTTACTTACCATATCTGATAACAAGTTCTCAGCGTCCATCCACCTTCCTGTGCTGCACATACTTCTTAGAATTATATTATGAGTGATGACATTAGGGTTGCAGCCGTAGGATGGCATGTTGTTCAAGAACTTAATGGCGTCATCCAATCTTCCTTCTTTGCAGATGCCATTGATGACCACATTGTAGGTGACTACATCCGGGGCGCATCCCTTTGCGCGCATTTCGTCGAGCAGCTTCATTGCATGACCCACGCCGCTCTCCTTGCAGGTGGCTTCAATTAAGATGGTGTAGGTGAAGACATCTGGAGCGCAGGCTCGGTGGAGCATATGGTCGAGCACCTCGAAGGCTTTGTCGAGCTTCCCACGCTCGCAGAGGCTTTGGAATATGGTGTTGTAGGTGACGACGTCGGGTGGGACGGACATACGGTGGAGGAGGTTGAGGGCTTCGTCGGTTTCGCCGGACTTGCAGTAGCCAGAGATCATGACGTTGTAGGTAATGACGTCGGGAGAGGCGCCGGAGGTTTCGATGATGTCGAGGACGCGGCGGGCGGCGGCGGTGCGGCCGGAGCGGCAGAGGCCGCGGATGAGGCTGGTGCAGGGGATGATGTCAGGGGGATCGGTGCCGCGGAGGAAGATGGACTCGAGGAGGCGGAGGGCGGAGTCGAGCTCGCCGTTGCGGACGAGGCGACGGAGGACGTCGTTGCCGGCGGCGTTTCCGGAGAGGTTGGCGGAGGAGAGGGAGGGGGGGCCGTTGGAGAGGGTGGATGGAGTGGGGGTGGAAGGGGAAGAGAGTTTGCTTCTGCTGGATCTTTTTGGGAAGGAGCTGGTGGTGAAGTGGGTTGCATTGGAGTTATGGGGGACTTTAAACCTGAAATTGGAGTCGACAAGAGAAGGGAAGGTCTTTGTTAGAGCTAAAAGATCCATTTTTTAACCTCGTCGTTTAAGAGAGAGGGAGTAGGCTGGTTGATGGGGGTTTAGGGTTTTGGAGAAGGGAGGGAGAAGGGGTTGGAGGTTAAGATAGTCCAGCGGTTCACCGTAACGCTGCGAGGGACAGCCAGCAGTGAGCTGTGAGAGAAGGCTGGATGTCGTGAAAATGAGGCTAATCAGGCAATCAGCGATCGTCGCAGAAGATAAATGATTATTTGCTTTACTTTTTTTCCTTTGTTTTTCTTTTGGGTTGGGTATCCGTTTCCGGGCCTGATTGGGTCAGGTTGGGCTAGGGTCAAATGGGTTAAGAAAAAAGAATAGTTTTGGACACTTGTTTTGGCCTTGGGTAGAAGAACCACGACATTCAATTTGGGTCGAATTGGATCAACATTTTATTCAAATCAGATTATTTGTCGGGCTGGGTTGATGGGCTGGGTTGATGGGCTGGGGAGGTCTGCAAAGATAATTTCAAGATCGTAAGGTCAACATTATAAATTCATAAAATTTCATGACCATTTTGGTACTTGTTTTGCTGATACTGTAATTACTCCGTATTGGTGTTAAATTCGATTGTATAGTGCTCCATACAAATGTTAATAAGATACCACAATATCATTCAATTTTGTTTAAATTCCAAGGTTCAATTTTTAGGAACCTTCGAGAATTTTTTAAGTAGGTGAAATTCATGTTAACATCTATGTTTTTTTCCAAGGGATATTACAAATTATTGTTTGTGTTAGAAAATTTAAAGTGATGAAAATTTTATGTGAGAATCATACAAATATATAGATATAGATGTAAACATATTTTCTACATGAATATAAGGATCCCAACCTACATGATGGACCTCCCAAAAACAAGTTAAGCATGATGGTCGACCGAAGGCCAATAAAAATGGTCTAACGGTGCTGGCCAGGCCACGAATTCTTCGATTAACAAATAAAAGTTAGATCCTTGAAGCCTCAATTCCAAAAGCACAATGGAATCAATAAATCAAATAGTCAGACTAAAATAAAACTTGCAGCATATGTCATATTTGATTAAACTGAAGCTGACTTGAGATTAGGCTAAATACCGTAAGTGTGAATGGAGTGCTCATAAACACTCATCTTTTAAATTTAAGCTTCATTTGAGATAGCTTTAGATCATTATTTTTTATATCTGCAAAATATACAGCAATTAAGAATATGAACAAATAAAAGCTCGAGCCAAATTCTACACATTTATAAATTTGTTTTCCGCCCTTTATTTGCTCTGACTTTCTTGTTGAATTCATGAGAAAATTATATGAACTCTTTTGAACAGACAAATCTAATCATGCTGATTTATCATAAATTCTAAGTTCTAATTCTTCTATAATAAATAACTCGCAATTATTTTAATGACGACTGCAATGAAATGAAAGAAAAAGACCACTTTGATTTATTTTATTAAGGCCAGGGGTCATCTTCATATTTCCAATAGAAACTTACTGATTTATTACATAAAGAATGCATTTTTAGCTCGAATAAAATTGTTCTCAGGATAAGAATCATAATCATGAACTTAGAAGATAAACGAGTAATCCAAACTATATAGAAAGGCATTTCCAATTATCATCTCAAAGTTTCAAACTGTCATAAATATCATAAAGTTTCATTAAAAAAAAGTCCAAAATCACATTTGCATTCACTCGAGATTTAGATCACAAAATTCGCCTTAAAAAATCATAAATAAAATTACATACATGCAAGAAATATTGCTGGCGATGCCATTCCCAAACCTACATTATGGATATATCTGAAATCTCTACGAATAGCTTAAAGGAGCCCAGGCACTCACACAGTGCAACTGTCGCTTCGCAAGAAAATCAGAACTCTCTTGGTTCAAGTTTGCTTCTCATATATTAACCATGGAGGCACAAAGAATCCAAATGATAAATAATGATAGTAACACTAACATTACATCCGGAAAGTTGCAGCCTTCTGCTGATTCAAGTACTGTTCTTCAACCTTCCAAAGGATAGAAGGAAGTTGTCAGAATAAGAAGAAAATTGGTATGGAAAAAGACAGTAAGATCCAGATCATAAAATATAATACCGGGGAGAGATCCTCCAGGTTAACTTTAAGCAAATGTCGAATTCCCGGGAGCTGGAAGGGCTACAACTTTCCCTACCGCAATAGTTTTACCTATTACAACTTCAACTTGTGAGATAACCTTTCTCCTGAATTAATACCATGATATTTTTAAAACTTCATTAATCATTTTACCTTCAGTACGAAGAGTGAACCGCCCCAGCTGTGGAAAATCTGCGAAATTCTCAATGCATATCAAGTTGTTTACCTGGAGGCTAAACATGTTTAGTTATCATTGAAGCTAAAGTTTGTTCATGACTTAAATTGTGTTTGAAGAAGAACCTGTACTCTGCAAACAACAACAGCACCGTTCTTAACAAAGAGAGGTTTCCTCTTGGGCTTTCTTTTCTTTGGATCCGCATCTTTCTTCTTCTTCACATCAATTTCCTCTATAAGCTCGACAATCTCCGACTCCTCGACAATGGAATGGATGTGCAGTATTGCTTTGTAACCAGCAGTGAATATAGCCTGGGATGGCATCATGCATCATAAGTTAATTTCCCTGTTGTGCATTGCTACTTAATATTGAAAAAAAAAATTCCACAATATTTACTTTGAAAAAAGTGCAATATAGGGACAATCAATCAACTCTCATATTGCACACTTTTCAAAGCACATACAAGAATTTTAAGCCCATCCTGACCAGATTTTTGTGAGGAAATCCTCAGCCAAAACTTTTCCACTTACTATTAAGATAAAATTACAAATATAAAAAAGTACTCACGTTATCGAGAAGCTCTAGAATTTGCAGCTGAGCATTAAATTCAAAAACTGCATTAACTGGATTAACTGCAGGAAAACGGTATTTATACATTAACACCTAAAAAACAAATGCAATTCACAAATGCAATATGCAAGGGAACCAAGACAGTGCATTGCAAATGCCATTGGCAAAGCCATTGCAATACGAATCTCAGTCATTTGATAGCTGTGCATAAAACTGTAAATCATCTTGGCACACTAATTCTTATAATTTTAATTTTTTCCTCATCGTTATTTTCAACAAGTCCTGAAATCTTCTGATTCGTAACACTGTTTGAGAGATAATTTTGAGCTATGAGAAGGGCAGTTGCATCAATTCCACCAGCCCTGGAGAGCACTCCGACATTGACTTACAAAGCTGTTTCTTACTCAAAAATTCAATTAAAACATCTCTTTTCAGAAGTTTTAAAAAAGATTTCATATTATGCTGCAGCATAATCTTCAAAAACAACATATTTATATGTATAAATAACAGCACAGATGAAGATATTACCTAAGAAAAGAAATACGAAGCAAAAGGCACACAAATGTTTACATATCCATTGGCCAATGGTAAATAGCTGTGGTAGATGAAGTGACCAGCCAGTGTTAGACATAAGCAAAATGTAGAACTATATGCCCATTTAACACTGTACATCTCAAGTCAAACTCATTTCAGATTCTGAATCTTGATATTCCCCTCTACACTCTTAATATTATTGTCACTGGATAATAGATATAATGAAAGTTTTGTGCTCTGCAACTAGTGGATCACCCTTGGAAATCTATTATAATATTTCTAGTAATATCACACACAATCAACCGTGGCCACACTATCCTTATATTTTTCAAGATTTTGTGTCGGTGTGTGTCATGCGTATCCCACCTGTCCATGCTTCGAACCCCATCCAATCTTGAACAAATTCAAATGGGGAGTACAGAAGAACAATCCCAATGCGATCTGTTGTTGTTACGGTATTCTAAATATATCATAATCACTAGAAATTAAACACTATTAACCATATCTAACAATAGAATCAGAAACAGAAGAACACTGGGTGCCATACGTATATTTCCTTCAGTATCTAATGCCTAAGCCAAAAAAAAATTACCACTAGCTACTTAAAACTCAAGATGTTTTTTTCATTCTAATGGATTGCATATAGGCAATAAATTAAAAAATAATTAAGCTGGAAAAGATAAATTAGAATACAAATTACAGAATAGCTTCAAAAGTATCCAACACATACCGACACTTGAAAGTACAAAACCAGACAATATGTCTTCTTCTTCTACTCCAGACACTTTCACCCTGACATTTTCACCGGGCCCAGCCCGTCTTGTCTTTTTTTCATCACAGAATATGGCAAGCACTTTGACATTGGCCTGCACAGAAGAACAAACGATGAAGACTATAAAATCTTATAATGCAACAGCTTGTTCAAAAAGGAAGGGAGGTTAATCATGTCAGCTTCAAAAAAAAAGAGCATACTTTATTTGGCATGACCAATAAGCTATCACCCTCTTGTATGGTTCCAGACTCAATCTTTCCCATCAATACAGTTCCCATGTCCTTGTATTTATCAATAATTGGCATCCTGTAAAACAAATTGTTTTATAAGTTAAGGAATAAGAGGATGGTAAACAAAAAGATTATTTCCCTAAAACAATGAAGGGAGACAAGAAGCTGAGATGGTACCTAATAGGCCCTTTAGGATCTCTTAATGGAATTTCAATAGAATCCAAAACTTCAAAAAGACATGGCCCATCCCACCAACTACAAACTTTCTTATCCACTCTGCTTGCCATATTGATTCCCACCAAACCAGATATAGGGAGAAAATGAACATCTGCTAGGAATTCATAGCAAACAAGTTTTAATCATATCATCCTTACAATAGAGTTATTAGTATCACTCTATACATTGTAGACACTGGCGAACCACAAATTAAAATCAAGTATGGGTTAGATACGAATTAATACTAGTTATACTTATAATTTTTAATGAAGATTGTAGAGTAAGAATAAAGATTTATACATATACTAGAACCTCACTTGATCATTCAAAATAACTTGTAAGGTTAGCAGGCACTAAGTTGAAAATTAGCTCGAGAGAATCAAAACTACAGGGTATACAAAAATGTAAGACTGCCGATCATAATAATGCTAATGCACAAAAATTAAGACTACTGCTAATAATAAATGTAAACTGCATACATGCTTAAGATAAAACAAATAAAGAAATAACTTGCATGGAAAAAAAAACAACAATTCCAGAACAAAAAGACTGAAAACTTGTTTCTTAGTAAACAAAGGATAAAGGTTACGTACATAAAAATTCAACATAGAATTCTTCACTCTTAATTAAGAAAATATTACACTACTTAAAAATTGTTAGCCAAGGACATCACATAAGGATATGGCAGGTCTCTCCAACCAATCAACCTAAGAAAAAACAAATATATATATAATAAGAAACCAGCAACATTAATGATCAAAAAACTGAAACCAATGCTCCAACCAATAAACCTAAGAAAAAATAAATATATATAATAAGAAACCAGCAACATTAATGATCAAAAAACTGAAACCAATGCTCCAACCAATAAACCTAAGAAAAAACAAATATATATAATAAGAAACCAGCAACATTAATGATCAAAAAACTGAAACCAATGCTCCAACCAATAAACCTAAGAAAAAATAAATATATATAATAAGAAACCAGCAACAATAAGGATAAAAAAACTGAAACCAATACAAAATACAGAAATCCATCAGACATGAACAACCTGAGGAAAAAGGAGTTGGGAGGGGTCTGAGGGGACGAAGTTAGTAGAACAACTTTTGCATATTTTATTGGGTGTTAACTAAGAACGTAGCTAGTAAAGGTTTCAATGAATTCGTATCATACAGGTTCTTTTTGGCAGATGGGGCTATTATATAGGTATATCAAAAGAATGGGTGTTAGGCTGTTAGCTTATACTACTAGTAAAAAGCTGCTTAAATTTCCAGAGCTAAAATCTTAGGAATTCAGATTTACATGTAATCTAAACTACTTAATGTCCTTTATTAACTCTAGTTATTTAATTGTAAACAGACCCTAATTGAATGTCTTCGCTGGATCTAATCATTCAATTTAAACGGTCTTAACAGGAATTCTTAATCGCAAAGAAAAACGTTGAACAGCATGACTTATATATATAGGCATGGCTTTTATTCCTAATTCTTTTCAAATATTATTTGTTAAACACCTTTCATTGCCTGCTAACTTTGCCCAACTCCATTGATCAATGTTTTATTTCGTTTAATTAGTAGATATGTAGTTAAAATTGATGGTTGTTTTAGTTTGTCTTATATCTTTGCTATGTTACCAATAAATGTCAAATTATTTGGTCAAGTTATTTTTGTTTCAAATAATGAATATGTAAAAGCCATTTAGTTCTATTTAGTTAAATACAATATTTGATGCATAATACTAATAGTTTAGTGAGATTAACATATAAATAAAGCTTATGAAAGCAGCCACTTTAGTTAAATCACTTTGTATTTCATACCAAGTTCAAGCATAAACTTAAACAACTAATACGAGAATTCATAATAATTATTAAATATAAAAATTTTAATGATAGAAAATTGATAAACAGTATATTTTCTCTGATTAATAAAATATTAAATTATTATTATTATAGAAGCATATTGCATTTATTGAGAATTTGACTCTTCATAGGACAAATGGAGAAAAAAGGTTCATGTGGCCCACCCCACTTAGTGGTGGGATAAAGGCTTATTTTTGTTGTTGTAAGGAAGTTGCAATTACTCTGAACAAGTCATTTGAATGAGACCACTCATATTAACCCAATCTGAGCATGCACTTGGTGCAGATTAATAGCTATGAACTTACGAGCACAAAGAAGATGTGCTTAACCAGTATGGACATATGAATGCTGAATTATTAAATGCTTAGCATAACTGGGAGCCCAAGTAGATGGTTGGTGGGTCCATTTGAATAAACGAGGAGAGCATTAAGCAACTGCATAAGCAACCAACCAACATATAGAATAAGATCAACCTGAACAAAGAAAAAAGAGCACAACAGCATTCCCAGAGTCAGGCATCAATAGTGCAATCCAAATTACCAGCTACGGTAGAAAACATATTGGAGAAGCCAAACCATGGCACAGTGCAAAAAAGCATATGCAGTTACCAATAAGGAGAGCACAGCGTAGATGCACAAGAACATGAACAAATAAAATGGCTCAAACTCCAAAATCTAAAAAATTTAAATCCGTATTAAAGCGTTGTCTCACTCTTAACAAACAAGAGCAATAGTATGTTGCATATCTAACAGCCAAGAAATTGGACAAATGAGAAAACAAGCCATGGTTTTAGCAGATGCAAAAATACTTGATTATTTTTTTCCCATAACATAATAAACTGAGCTGAAATAAGATAATAAAATAACAATTATATTTTCCACAGCACATTCAGCAGAGAGTAAGCACTAGATTAATTCATGAGAAATAGCCAACACTACCTTTCCTAGCATTATAACCCGATGACTTGAGGAAAGGAATCATCTTTGTTTCTATCTCATCATATCTGGAAGGAACAAAAAAAAACAACAAATAGAGCAAATCAAGATGAGTCTAAGAAAACCACCTTTCCACCAATAATGGGAGAGAAAAAATGCACCTTTCTTTAGCCCAATTCACCGTAGGTTCATCCATTTTATTTACAACCACAACCAACTTTGAAACACCCAGTGTTTTTGCAAGTTGAACATGCTCACGGGTCTGCCCTCCCTTCTCATATCCAGTTTCAAATTCACCTTTCCGTGCGGATATGACCTAAAAACAAGAGTAAAAGTTCTCAACAGACTTCTAAAATGATACCCAACAATGTGGTTGCTAGCATTTGCTTACTAGAACTCCAACGTCAGCTTGAGATGCACCACTGATCATGTTTGGCACATAGCTTTTATGTCCCTGTGGGAAGAAGTGAGTAGATATCCTATGGCATAAGTTGTCAAGAAAAAAATTGCAGAGTGATACATAATGAAGAAAAGAAACTATGGATCTCAGTTAATTCGATTTTATGTTTCTTTATCATCTGCATAAGGTTTTTTTTAAGTGATCGTTTTATTTTCTATAAAAATAACATGCAGTAATTATAAAGCAATAAATAGATTAGTGATGATAAATAATATACATTGAAGTTGTTGAAATAAGAAGCGTACTACTTCGAGTAATAAAATATGTATCTAGTTATCTAATATGCAGATAAAAAAATAAAATCAAAGTGCACAAAACTTACTGGAGCATCTAAAATTGTAAATCTCGTATTTTCTGTTTCAAAATGTGCTCTTCCAACCTCCACAGTTTTTCCCTGAAGTTCATACATTATACTTAAGACTGTAAGTAGCAACAAAGAAGTAAGTTTAAGCATTCTGACAGAAGACATAATACAAATTAATCAAAAGCATATAGAATTTTTCTACTTCTACAACATCGCAAAACTTCAAACTGCTTATTAGTAAAAAAAAATGCATGCAAGCAATGGGAATCAAAAGGCATTCAGAGTTAATTTCAATTAAAAAGGCAACAAGAAACAAGTTATCGGTTTCCTGTATGAAGACCAATGTTGCTGCCTGGCTCCAGAAAGACACTTTCAAAAGCCTCTGGTGAAAATGTGTTCAAGACCCAGCAGGAAGGATTATGACCATGGTTATATACTTCCCCAAAAGCTTATTATAAGAACAACATGGCAAACAGTGAAGCCCCCTGGGGTAATCTTTTTTAAGGCAAAAATCTAAATTGCTTTGAGAATCCCATGGCCCTCTGGCGCTCCCATCAAGTATTTTCTATATTTTCTATCTTTTTTGAAGGATCTTACTAACCTTGATGTTTTTTCCATAGCAAATAATCAACGTGACCCTAAGGAGATTTTCCTAGGGAGTTGATAGATCTGTTTATCTTCCCTTTTATCTTATGAACTGATAAAAGAGGCATCAAGAAATATTCTTGGGGGCTTCTCTTATGATAATAGATTACCTTCCCAATAGATTTGTGCGACTCCACAGACCTCATTGTTCTTGTTTTATACAGCTTCTTCCTGTAAACTGCACATTGGACTTCTATATGTGCAAAGATTCATATAAGAGGCTAATTAATTACATTACCCTTCTACATTGGTCAAAGAGGTGTCCATTTTAACTTTAAAAAAAAAAAGAGGTGTCCATTTTGAGTCTGTCCATGCATGACAAACTAATGCAAAATAACAGCTGAACCTTTATATTTTCCATTTAGGCGTAATGGAATACATCAAGGCTTTTGATGCTTCTTTGCTAAAAGTGGATTAAAGATTAAGTGTTCACCTTTTAGCATATAAATTTCCAATTTCACTTGCCATCTTTTCTTTTCCCTCTATTCCTATGTCAGTTTATAAAGCAGCCAACTAGTAATGCATAATGATTCCTAAATGCTAAGAACCTTGCAATAGCTAACTTAAGTCAAGAATGAAAAGAAACACAGATGGAGGAAAGAAGAAAAAAGGGAATATCCAGCAAATCATACACATGTAAAGACCCCAAACTAATCATTAATTTAATTATGTCAATATTAATTGTTTAATATGTAGTACAAATCAGGCTAATTCAACTGGAAAGAGGTAAATTGGTAAGGCTAATTGTAAGGAAGTTAATCTGGGAAACAAAAAAGTTGAACCAAATTAGTTTTCCAAACTTTTAGAACTACAACTTTCTAGTCTTTTATTGATTTATTCAATCAAGTGCTATCTTCTCTAGGATTAGAACAAACTTTAAATTTTGAAGTTTGTTAGATTATGATAGGATTTGATTTGTTTTTAAGAGAGGAATAGATTTGATTGAAAATTTTGATCTCATATATGTAATCCAATATTCTGTAAATAGGGAACTATCTAAATTGATTTTTATTGATTGAAAGAACTGAATTATTTGTAATTAGTTGAGTGATTATTAGATCCAAATTACGCGTGTAGATAACCCCAAATTGTGTGCATATTTTATTCTTCTCCTTCTTCATCAAATTTTGGTATCTAGGCTTATGCGCCATGCCCTACAAATCCTAAATTCAATTCAAGTATTTGCTTAGTCCAGAATACAAGTCCCCTGCCAAAGCCCAACCCAATTGAATCACTTTGGCCCTTGACTCAAGCTTTCATGCATCCTTGCTCGTAACCCTTGCCCATTATATGTGTATCCTTGCTTCTTCACCTTCTACTTGACGCACGTTATGTGCTCACTGATGCATATACAATTGCATTTTCAACAAGCCCTAATTCCACAAGTACTGCTGACCCCTAAATCTCATCACTTCCTATAGCCATGCACATGCATGCAATCTTATGAATCACTCACAACTTACATCTACCCCTCTGATTTTTTGGAATTGTTCTTGATCTCCCATCCTCCAAATCATCATATGCCCGCATCCTCTCAATGACACCACCTGACCCTTCCGTGTGTCCTCCCCCTGCACTAGTTGCACTTGCTTCAAAGTCATCCCAAGCCCCTATTTCAAGCACACGTGTGTTCGTGAAGCCCTCCCCACAAGCAAATAAGCCTTCCAAATGGCATTTAACTTCGCCTAGTTCATTGTAAAACCTAAGTGCATTCCATCCTATATCTTTCTTCCACAGCGCATCCTCCCTGCATTGGGTCTTTTATAAAATTATGTTGAAACAAACAATCTCATCAATCTTGATAGTTATCTCAAAATGATTTATTCTTGTGAAAATTATGACTACTATGATCTTCAATCTCAAAACCTAAGTTATTGGTGTGTTCCAGTACATCCCATTAATCATAATCAACATTATAATTCATCAAGTTGTCAACAACTTAATCTAAGCATGCAAAGAAACCTATCTCGGATGAATAAAATCATGGTTTAAAATTGCGCAATATGAGGCTCGCCTTGATGCCCGCCTTTGCGCAATTCCAATAAAAAACGCCTCGATGCTTACGCCTTAAGTTTTTTTTATGAGGCTTACGCCTCAACTTGGTTGAGGCCTGCCTCACCTCACTGGCATGAGGCTTACGCTTCACGTTATATATATATTAAAACTTACATAAATCTTGAAGTAAATGTCCGACATTGGAGTCTATAGGAGAGGAGGAAGGGGAGAGAGCAGTTCATCATAATGATGATTCAAATGAAGAACCCTGATGTAGAACGGGAGACGACTTTGCTAGGGAGAGGATTTCTTCTCCGAAATCTGAGAACAATGTCAGTTTTGTTCCCCCAAAACCTGAGAGAATTCAGATTTCCTCTTCTTTATCTTGCTTAGACCTCTTGAGATGAATGAAGGTGATGCTCTAGAGAATAATCGAAGAGAAGAAGTTTCTCTGATAATTTTGTTGGTGAGAGAGCCCAAAACCCAAACCTGAAATAAGTTTCAGGTTTCTGTGAAAGAGGAGTTTGGAGAAAACAAAGAAAAAAAAAGAACAAGACAAGGGGCAAGAGGGAGTTCGGCCAGCATCATAGAGGCTTGGACAATTCCTTCCAAAGTGAATTGCTACAATTGTGGAGAAATTTCCAATGGCCAACAATAATGGGAAGGGAGGCGGCGTGATATTGAGGAGTTAGGAAAGTTTTATTATTTCCTAAACCAAGGCTGTAATTTAGGAATAGATTTAGGAAATATGGCTTAGGTAAATTTCGGCCAGGGAGTTGGAATTAGAAATATTCCAATGAGTAAGGAAAAGGAAATAGAAAAGCAATCCCAATCCCAGTTCAATGGAAGGAGGCCGGCAGTATGGGTATCCAAGGGGGCTATTAATGAGAGCAATTACAGCTTCCTAAGTTGGGTTTTAGATTTAAGAAAGATTTAATTCAAATCCTCTTGAATTTAAAATTCAAAATTAGATCTAAATCAAATACTTTCCTAAAATAGAAGAGCTAATTTAGGAAATATTTTGAATTCAAATTTGAATGAATTTGAATCACAAATTAATTCCAATTGATCCCAACCAAAATTAGGAAACAAAATAAGAGAAACAACGGGGTGGGGCCGGCGGCTAAAGGACCCATCCTGCGGCTAGTAACAACTTCGATTCCTTCCCATAGGAATCTCACTCTCATTCTCTCCCAAGAACACAAGTGTGGAACACAAAATTTTCATATCCATTAACCATCCTCTTACAATAGCTTGAGGCCCTATATATAGGCCACAACATGAGAAAAATTAAACATTACAAAATTGCCCCTTGGGCCACAACACTCACATAAACTAACCTAGGGGTAAAACAGAAAATAACCGAAAATCAGAGCTAAAATTCAGAAAATAAAACTTAAATGACAATTTAAATTAGAGCCGTCGATTTACGACGCCTCCTGTGATAGATGCGCCAAATCTTCGTGCCGCTGTCCGCATCAAACCCCTTAGTAATGACAGTGCTGATAGCTTATGAGTTCTTATGTGATATGTTATTGCTATTTATTTTTAGAAATTTGAATTATATGTTACTGAAAAGAATACTGAGATTTGGAAAAGATAGAATTTTGAGTTGAACTATATTTCATGTTGTCTAATTATTGGGATATTTTGATTTCACTTCATATCTTATGCTTTTTTATGTTTTATATTATTCACTCATTAGTATATAAAAAATTATCATTTTATGTTTACGCAATCTTTTGATTTTGAGGCTTACGCCTCAAAACGCCTTGAGGCTTACGCCTCGCCTCACGAATGAAAAACGCCTCAATACCCGAATACGCAATTTTAAACATTGAATAAAATAATGGAATCCCTTAACAACTTTAAAGTAAAATTTTATGAAAGAACATATTCTATAGAGGTTACATATGCAACTCAAGCGAAAGTCCAAACAACGAGTTTCTTAAAGTTGATAGACAAGGTCGCTCGATCTACAATTGAGTTTGATCTAGCACCTGAGCAGGGTACTTTGCCCTAGATTAATTGTGAAGTTTATTGTGATGGCCCATACATATATATTTATAATAAACTACTATTCATATAGATGAACTAGATATAAAGGATAATTATGATTTATTGTTATCATATGAAGTATTTGAGCTTGATTATGTTCGCAAGTATGATATAATATTTCTTAAAAGTTCAAATGAAGATCCTGATCCAAGTCCCTTGAAATGTACTACTTCAAGTCATTGTAGTTTACCTCAAGAACATATATTAGAGATTGAATTTATATAGCCATTGCTCCAATTGATATCAAAACCATTGTTGGATCTTATAGGTGTAAGATCTTTGGAGCTGCCTAGCATCTAGATCTTCAATTATCTGTCTATTTTGTGTATTTCTCTCTCCTAAGGGTCCCATAACATGCTTGGTCCTTCAATCATATGAACTTATGATACCACCTCGTCCTCCGTGGCGTCCACAAACTCTTTAGGAGAATTCTTTGATGACTAGGTGAATTGATGTATCAAATCTACAAATCACAAGTCTCGTAGGTCTCCTCTATCAATTACATAGATATAAGCCTTGGCTTAGGTCAAATCCCTAGGTCAAGTTTGTAGCACATACAGGAACTACAAGTCTCACACTATATGTAGTAAATATATAGATGTAAGATTGCACCATACAAAATCAACATCTTGGTCAAATCAAACATCTATAAGCCCTACCAAAAGTATGAATCCATTCGTGGGCCTTCCCCCAAGATTTAACCTTTGACTTAAATGAAATCAGAACCCATCTATTTCATGTGAATTGAATACTCGTCTAAGTGGATGACAAAACCAAACTAAATCTTAAAGCTTGGGACTTTCTTTGAGTCAACTCTATTCCAACCTAGAATTTAAGTCAACTTAGGACTTCCTACTCGAGACAACTCATGAGTACGCCAGAATGTCTTTCACCATGTAGTTAGCCACCTCAGTAGTAAATGGACACTTGGGAATAACCTCGACTCATGTGTCTAAATATGATTTACAACACCAAAGATTGGCCTACAACTTTCAAACCATATCCATATGTGTAATCTAGGGAGCTCCTCATTTAAGATAAATTTATAATTCAATCTTATACATTCAATTGTCCACTATTTACTCCTACAAGTCAACCTCCAAATTGATTGATCGAGCGTGTGCAATGAACATCTAGTGGTCACATAAAAATATTGTAGAACGATTGACAAACAGACATGTGCCCTTGAAGTGATTCAATCCAAATCAAGATCATTGGATTGGATCTCATCAAGTGAGAGTGTAAGTAACCTTTTAGCGTACTCGCTAGCCTAATCAACTTGAGATTTATGAGAGAAGGCATCCAAGCCTCACATCATTGGTAGATTAGATTGGCATGGGATGATGGAACCATATAATCTTGATTTTGTTTACCACACATTCCCGAACCACTTCTCCAAATTAGGGGTGTCAATATTTGATCCGACCCAAAAATCCGACCCGAATCCGACCCAAAAATTTCGGGTTCGCGTCAACCCGAATCGGGTCGAGTTCGGGTTAGGGATTTCGACCCGTTTGTAAAACCGGGTCGGGTTCGGGTTGACCCGGAAACCCGAAATCAACCCGTTTTGACCAATTTTTAATTAATTTAGAAGGGTTTTAATGAATTTTTATGAAATAAGTAAATGATATTTCAAAAAATTATAAACATTATTGCTCAAATTAAATTAATCTTGATTTATTTTAAATTAATTGAAGTAAATCTTACCTTAATTTGATTTAGATTTAAATAAATTGAATTAAATAAAAAAATTTAATAAAATATACCCAAATCGGGTTGGTTCGGGTTGACCCGGACACAAAGCGGGTAGGGTTCGGGTTCGGAAAACCGACCCGTTTGCAAAAACGGGTCAGGTTGAACAGTGTCGGGTCAATTTCGGGTTGGACCCGAACCCTACCCGTGACCCGGTTTTGATAGCCCTACTCCAAATCATAAATTAAAATATAAACACCTCTAATGCAACACGCATGAGGTGTCATTAATAGAGTATTTCCTGGTATCGCACTTGAATTAAAAATAACTTTCGAGGACTCGCATCCGTTGAAAACATTGATCTTCCAAAAATAATATAAAGCATAAAAAGTCGAAATTTTGCTTAGGGAAAATCTTTGAAACTTTATAATACTAGGCATTTAGCACTTAAACTCAAAAAAAAAAAACCTAATCACTCGAGCTCATGAGTGTCTTAAAAACAAATAAGACTTAACTACCATAACAAAAATTTTATTACATTCTTACTATTCATTTAATAATGAAATAAATGGTCACAAAAATCCCAAGACATTTTAGGCATCTCCATTTTAGTCGTATATTTTTCCAACTAGTTAATTTAACCGATCAACTCACTAGATTGAAACCAAGTTGATCGTACCATCAATTTTTTTATTTTTTTAATGAAAATTGATGTCGAAGAGCTTTTCATGAGAGAGTTTTTTATGATTTTATAATCAACCTCACTAATTAATATTATAGTTCAAACTAACAGGATTTTTTACGACCCCACGTAGTGGGATAAAGGCTTGATGTTGTTGTTGTTGTTGTTGTTGTAAACTAACAGGATTTTTCTTAAAAAGTCCAAAATGAAAAATTCTCTCCACCAATTTCCATCCAAAGAAATGATAAAGTTGACTGTTGACTACACTGGTTCAAATTTGATGAGTTGAGGAATTCAACTTAATATCCAAAAAAAATCTGTAACTAAAATGGGCAAAAGTTAAAAAATCTAGGGACTATTTTGATCATTTAATCTTTAATAATATCATAGGCCGAGTATTTGTGATCAAATGTGCATTTCACCCTTTTCAAAAAAAGAATGCAAAAAACCATTCTACAACACCTAATTGCTCATCAAGTCTACAAATTAAAAGGCATGGTATCCAAGACAGAAGGAATAATAAAAGAATAATAAGTATGGGCAACACAAACAAAATTAAATCAAGAATATGGAAGTCGTAAACACACCTTTATACGTTCTTCCTCATTAGTGTCCATAATATAAGCCATGTACCTAGAGGATGAATGAATAAATACCAAGCATGAGAAGACAACATATGCTTCCTATGCCCAAAGTAAATGAATGCCTTAAACTCCATGCAAAGAAAAATTAATAAGAATAGATGTTGGCAAATGAAAACACACATGAAAATTAAGAAGATATATCAAAACATGAAAATGGAGTTTCAGTTTGTACTTTGTAATATAACATTGTCATGAATAATCAAACTAGTTACTCTCTTGGGGAAAAAAATCTTAAAAGTGGGATTATGAGATAATCATCTTAACAATTGATCCGATCTACCCCAAGGAGCCTAAGCATGCATCTTTTCTCTAAAGCATAGAAAAAAAAAGTGGTTGACAAATCTCATTTAAGCCATAGCAAAGGGAACAAAATAATGAGAAGGATAATTAATACAAAGGACCAATTCACAAAATTTAAGCCTTATTACCAAATTGAGTTAAACAATTAGAAAACAATGAAGAGGACAATTGTTGTAAACATTAAAAATCATTTTCTGAGCCTGATCACAATTCATGAATATGGTGATTAGCATAAACCAACGATCAATCAGCCAATGGAGATACCTCTAATTTTAATGTAAAACTCAAGCACAGCTAGCAATGCCCAAAACGCTTAAGAGCATGGCATCTCACATTGGAATGGAATTTTATTACAAATGCAACAAAACTCAATGAAATAAAAGTTAAACACTAAACAAATAGATCACCGCATAAGCATGAGAGTATAATTTTGTAGCTCTATATGGGATAGAAGCCATAACAATTTGCAGTTTAAAGAACATAAACAAATAATATTAAGCGTGGAAAGGAACATACCAGCTCTCTCGGTTTTTTTCCTTTGCCTCCTTCTCATACTTCTGAATGGTTCGATCATCAACCTGACCACTGAGGAGAAGTAACTGCCCTCCAGTTGTTGACTTACCAGCATCTGCATTGATGGAGTTTTTAGGAAAAAATGACAATGCATAAAATTAACTTCACCCAAAGATCCATTTAAATTGATGGATGTAAAACATCAGCCTTTAAAGCTAATTATGAATGGAAAGACCATCACTCTGTGGGCTCATTTAGTTGCATGTAGATGACACATTTTTGAAAAATGATGATTTCTTTTTTTTTTTTTTTTACTCATTTTGCATGTGACATTGAAGTCATTACATTTGAGAGAGATTTAAGAGAGTTTGTCGAGTAGAAGCCAATGTTCATTTCTAACTAAACCCAAAAATGATGGAACTAGTAGATTTCATTGTTTTCTAAAACATTTTTTTTTTACTTTAAGCAAGCAAATGGGGCCTTCTTTAAATCTGGAAAGACATCTTTCATTCATTATTCAAGTAATGACAATCCTAACATTTGAAAATAAATATATCAAGAGGTAATAGATTGCCTTTAATGAGAATAAGTTCCATCAATTCATAAACATATGATTGAAATAGGTGAGTTTTAAAAATTCGCATTCAGCTCTGCTGCGAAAGTCTAACTCTGGTTAAAATTTGTATAAGCCAAATCGAGATTTCACTCTTATTTGACTTTATGATATAATTTTATGTTCTCCGTAGGCACAAGCACCTATGGTTAATTACACCAACCAATAAAGAGAAAGAAGCTTCGATTAAAGCTAGCTGAACAGTATTGAATGCATACAGTATAATAGTTGTGATTTTTGAGTATCAAGTTTGAATAATTTTACCATTGTTAGCTTTAAAGTGGATGATGGTGTAATGATCATGAATCAAATTAAAATCTCATGGTTCTATCACCTCGGGTTGTTGTAAACCCTAATTTACTTAGTCAGTAGAAGCAAGCGGCCCAACCTAACCAAAAGATCTTTGTCATCATCAATGGGTTGCATCATTCAAAGAGACCTTATAAATCTATGATGATTGTTTGTCTAAGGAGATAATTTTAAACTGATACTAGCTAACATATAGCAATATGCTCTATCAAGTACACTTTATAATTCACCCCTCAAGAAATTTGAAGCCATATGTGAACATAGTTTAAGGGTATCATTTTGCGACAAAACAATCCGATCAAAAGGCCTCATCCAAAATCGTTATTTAATAAAGCCATTTGGCGGCAAAATAACCTGATTAGAGGACAAATGTTAAATTTTTATTAACATTAGAACTTTCAAGAGTGATCATAATTATATACTTGATATGGCATTGGCTCATTGTAAGCTAAGGTTAATCTCAATATTATTCAGAGAATGAATAGATATTTTCTTTAAGTTTAGGGTGATTAATTTTATTTGAATCATTTTGAATTTATAATTTTCTTTGGTTTTTACATTTTTTATTTGAATGTACACCTAAAATGCTTGAGTGTAAAATGGTGGCATTTTTAAAAATAAGATGCCCTCAAGTTGAAATTTACCTATCAACACAGCAAGAGTTCGGGTGTTTAAAGGATTGTATTTTGCAACTTTAAACCATATCTACTCTACTCGCTTGCTAGCAAAGGATCGAGTTAATAGGTTTATAGTCTTGTCAACTTCAATCTATGTGATGCGGACAATCATCATACTTTAAGTGTGGAACTTATGAAAAAAACCTAAAGATAAGGGGGCCCACTTAAAAGCATGTATATATGTTGAATTTAAGTTTGATAAGGGGTTTGAATCTTCAAAGTATTTGCAAGACTTTTAAATTATCTACGTGTATCTCAAAGTGAAGATAAACAAAGTTTGATTTTGCTTTTCGTCCATGCAGCATTCCCTGACATTAAGTTCGAGCACTTATCAAGTTTGTCAAAATGCATGCAGACATTTTAATCTTGGTAACTTAATGCCTTTTAAAGGATATGCACGCTTATTAATCATTTGCATAGTTCACATATGATGCTTTTACATGTTTTTCGATATAATCGCATTATGTATTTGAATATTCTTCAATACAATTGCTCTATGCTTCTGCACAATCATCAATGCACTTATATACTTTTTAAGGCACTCGCACGCTTGTCAATATACTTGAACGGTACACTAGCACATATTTTATACATTTGTAAGATGTATAAAGAACCACTTACATCCCTTTCACCACATTTGCACAATGCACTTGAGTGCTTTTCGATGCATTTGCATAGTGCACTTGCATGCCTTTTAATACATCTGCATAATGACTTGCACGCCTTTTGTTGCATTTTTTAGTGCATGTGTGCGTCTTTCAATGCATTTACACAATGCACTCACATTTTATCAATGCACTCATTGTGTATGTGCACACTTTTTATTGCATTTGTATAATGCAAACACAAGCTTTTTGAAGTATTTATAAGAGCATTTGCATATATTTCAATGTATTTGTAGCTTTTCAATATTTTGCACAATACAATTACATATATTTTGATGCATGTGCATGTTGTTCAATACACATACAGGTACAATTGAATGAATTTCAATACATTTACACAATGAACCTCCATACTTTTGATGTATTTTGCACAACGCATATACAAATTTTTAAAAGGAACTACATGAGGTATTTGTTTGGTTTTCAACGCACTTGCATGGTGCAATTACATGCATATTGCACTTACACGACGCATTTGCATAGCTATTAGTAAACTTGTATGATGCATTTGCATAATTTTCAATGCAATTGTACAACTTTCACAACATTTTATTTGCATTCAACCAATATTTTAAATTGCGCATTTAGGTATTGAGGCGTTTTTTTTTTGTGAGGTGAGGCATAAGCCTCAAGACGTTTTGAGGCGTAAGCCTCAAAATCAAAAAATTGTGTAAAGTAAAAATAAAGGTCAAAAATAATTTTTTATATAATATCTAAATAATTTGTTAAATTATGACATATTAACTTCCTATTGAATTATGAATTAATAAATCGACATACATATGAAACAAAAATTGCACAATATGTAAAGTTACAAGTGATAAATTATGTGAAATAGAATTGAAATCCAAATATTACAAGAGCAAAACAATATTAAATATGGGAATTACATAAAAGTATCATATAACATCAAGTTTAACTCCAAACTTTTTTCTCAATTTTCTACTCATTTATATTTAATTCCTAACGAAAGCTGAAATAATTGGCAACAACTCAAAAATCATTTACACTGCCATCACTGAGTTGATTTTTATTTGAGCCATAGTTTAAAATTGTGCAATAAGAGGCGCGAAGAGCGCCTCTGCGCATTTTAACTACCAAGAGCCTCATTGCTTAAGCAATTTTGGGTCTAGATGAGGCTTACGCCTCAAGATCCAAGCATCTCAGAGGCCCAATTGCATAATAATGGGTGAGGCGCATGCCTCATAGAGCCGAGTCACACCCACTTAAGTTCCTAATAAAAAAATCCTATTTCCTCACTTCTTTCATTCGGCCTACCCAAACCGAACGGAGTTCTCCGCAAGCCCAGATCCGCGACCTAGTTTCCCTAGGCCAGCTTTCCCGCCGGCGCCACCTCATGCCGGTGAGCTTCTAGTGTCCATCCGCCCTCTACGACACCTCTACTACCGATTTTAGTTTTTTTTTTTTTTAATTCAAGGCTATGTAGCACAGATACTCTTATTTACGAGGCATGATGTATCAGACACGTGTCAAATACGAATACGCCTCTGATACGGTACGAATACATGTCGGATACGCGTGTCCTATTAAAAAATCAAAAAAAAGGCACCGGAACTCGGTACCGCTCGGTATTACTCGGTACCGAAACTTAGTACCACTCAGTACCTCTCTGCAACGCTCGATACCATGCTCAGTATCAATACTCGGTACTGCTCGGTACCAAGGGGTACCAAATGGTACCGAGCGGCACCGAAAAATGCCCGGTACTGCAACACAACAAGCAAACAAAGGTATCTCACAATTTCTTATGTGCTATTACATTTAAAATATATGCAATTAACAGCACACTAATCATTCCTTTTGAACAGGAAAGAGAAAAGCGGATAACATTGAAGATGATGAAGATTTGACATTCATAGATACAATTGGAGATGAAAACGCCTCTCTTGAAGACCCATTTAGTGATTAGACATGATTGGATTTTAGATGTTCTTTTCTTATTTGTACTTTGAGAGTTTTGATTGACTTATATTTTTGGTTTTGTACTTTAAATTTTGTTATGAGATGCATATATTGCATCTATTTTATTGTTTTCCACTAATTTCACTTCACACTTAGATTTTTTTATTATATGATACTCTTACTGTTATTTACCTGCTAGAATACGTAAATTCTCATTTACGCAATTTTTTGTCTGTGAGGCTTACGCCTCGCCTCAAGGACAAAAAATGCCTCGAAGCTTATTTACGCAATTTTAAACCTTGATTTGAGCTATCGCCATAACAAATCAGTTTATCCCCTGCCTCAGCCAGTGGAATTGAATGCCTCTCATTCTTCTTCTTCTTAATTAATTTCAATCATGTTCATCTTTTATAAATTCATCAACATAAAGATGAAATTAATACTGCAAAAATTTTAGGTTGGTGGAGTGCGGCTTTCAAGTGATTGTCGTTAACGGCTGTGATGATGTTGGCTGTGGCGAAGGCTGCGGGTTGGAGGTAGAGGCAATTGAGAGGAAGTTATTGCGGCACGAATGTGTTAATTATGTTAGTTTTAACAAAAAAATATATATACAAAGGGTGAGGCATAAGCCTCACGCTAGCGAGGCGAGACATGCCTCAAGGCGAGCCTTAGCCAAGTTCAGGCGCAAGCCTCATACAAAAAGCTAGAGGTGTAAGCCTCGAGGCATTTTTCACTGGAATTGCGCTGAGGCGGCCTCAAGGCAAGCCTCATATTGCGCAATTTTAAACAATGCATTCAACAGAGAACGTACACAAATTAATTGCATGCTTCTTAGAGCAAAGTGAATTTGAAAGTATTTATTTTAGCTCGCATAGCATTCTAACATTTAGATTGGACATTAACATAAATCAATGCACATGTTACTCTT